GTAAGGTATTCCCTCAACTTCTACCCTTGCAGCTTTGCTCCCTTTCTCTAAGTCCTACCCCACTGGGCCTCTGGGGGAAGATGGGTTTCAGGGCGGGGCCTAGAAGGAAAGAGGGATGAGGATGGAGTGGGGATACAGACAGGATGATTAAAAGTGGAGAGGAGTGAGGCCATTGCTATTTGTCTCTATTTCCATGTAGACAAAAGAAGAACAATCCCAGATCACCAGCCAGGTGACTGGGCAGATTGGTTGGCGGCGGGAGGGCATCAAGTATCGCCGGAACGAGCTCTTCCTGGATGTGCTGGAGAGTGTGAACCTCCTCATGTCCCCGCAGGGTGAGAGCCCTCTCATGATAAAGCTGGAGGGGAACTGGGGCAAGGTCCTAGTCCTGACTCAGCTTTTCCATTTGTCTGTCCATCACCAGGGCAGGTGCTGAGCGCCCATGTGTCAGGGCGGGTGGTGATGAAGAGCTACCTGAGTGGCATGCCTGAGTGCAAGTTTGGGATGAATGACAAGATTGTAATTGAGAAGCAGGGCAAAGGCACAGCTGATGAAACAAGCAAGAGGTGCCTGAGGCAGGGGAGCTGGTGGGAGTGGGTGGACCTTGGAGGGTTGAGGGGGGCCTGGTGAGTCACAAATTCTTTCTGGACATTTCTGCAGTATTGCAAACTCCCTCTTCCCAAGGATGTACTTGGCTAGTTGCTCTTGACATCTTTGCTTAAGCAAGATGAGGGAATTGCCGTCGTCCTACTCGGAGAGTAAGCCCCTTTATTTGGTCCCCAGGACCGAGGCTTTTCAGCATATACTGATGGCCTTTGCTGGCCTCTGCCCAGTGTACCTGAAACCTCTAGGTCCTAAGCAGCAGAGCTCTCAAGAGATGATGAGCTTGCAAAGCTCACACTGATCCCTAATTCTGGGGCAGGGACCCCTAAGTCAGAAAGCTGTATTCTGACAGGTTTGGTTTTTCTTTTTAACCTTTATTGTTGAAAGTATTACATAGGTCTTCCTTTCCTGACAGCTTTTGATAGTGTATAGTGGAAACCTCACCCAGGCTCTGACAGCCTTTGTGGGTGGGGTAGCCTTCCAGCCTAAATCTCTCCTGCCACTCCCCTGTACCTATGACACTTTGTGCCCCTTCTTGCAGCGGGAAGCAATCAATTGCCATTGATGACTGCACCTTCCACCAGTGTGTGCGACTCAGCAAGTTTGACTCTGAACGCAGCATCAGCTTCATCCCACCAGATGGAGAGTTTGAGCTCATGAGGTGCCATTGGGATGTGAGGAGGCAAGGGCAAAAAGTGGGGAGAGGAAAGAGGACAGACTCTGCTATGCCAACCTTGCTCTCTACTCCTAAAGGTATCGCACCACCAAGGACATCATCCTTCCTTTCCGGGTGATCCCACTGGTGCGGGAAGTGGGGCGCACCAAGCTTGAGGTCAAGGTGGTCATCAAGTCCAACTTCAAGCCCTCACTACTGGCTCAGAAGATTGAGGTGAGGACAAGGGACTTGGGGAGGAAGAAGCACTTGTCTTCAGGAATAAAAGCAGCTGATGTCAGGGTTTGACAGAGCTCCCTGACAGGTGTGTTACTTCTAGGTGAGGATCCCAACCCCGTTGAACACAAGTGGGGTGCAGGTGATCTGCATGAAGGGGAAGGCCAAGTACAAGGCCAGTGAGAACGCCATCGTGTGGAAGTGAGTCTTTCCTTCATGAGGCCACAACAGGGTTTAAGAAGCCTCGATGTACCCTCTTATTCAGTTTTACTGTTCGTCCTCTGAGTGTGTATGTGTTTTATTCGGGGAGGGAGGGGATTGCCTATTTGCTTCTCCAGGAGCTTCTACTTGCTCTCACCCTGTACCTATGTGAGTGTGCCACCTGTTTGCACTTGGGTGCATGCCTACACTTATTTATCAGGATGCTTTGACGTTTTCCCATGTCTGTGAAGTAAACAGTAAGGGATGGCACGACCATGTATCTCAGCAGAAACTGCAGCCCACAGTGCTAAAGGAATAGCAGACCCAAGGTTCCGTAGCAAGTGGTAATCAAGGTCCTCACTGCATTTTCTTGTCCTAACACCTCCCACAAGCTTCTAGGTTCTTTCCTCCCCGCCCCCTTCGAAATTCCTCCAAGCTTCCAGCAGCACTTGCTGCCCATGGCTCCTGTGTTCCTAGGATCAAGCGCATGGCAGGCATGAAGGAATCGCAGATCAGCGCAGAGATTGAGCTGCTGCCCACCAATGACAAGAAGAAGTGGGCCCGACCCCCCATTTCCATGAACTTTGAGGTATGGCGGAGGAGGGGCCGAGAGCCATAGCAGGGTATGCTGGGAAAGATCTTGGAAGTCATTCAGATCAATCTTTATACCTACTACCTGCAGATGAGCAAACTGAGGCCTTGAGAGGGGAAGTGACTTTAATTCATAGAGCCATTTCTTCCCCCTTCAGGCTTCCAACTAAAATTGCTATTCACACTAACAAAAATCTTTACCTTCTTTTGGCTTGTTGTAAGATAATTCTTTGGAAAGCTTTAGATTGCTTGAATGCCAAATAAGACACAAAGTTTACTTACAGACAGGAAAATGGGCTGACTTTGCTTTGTGCAAATTATATGTTAGACATACAATTTTCTCCACCTTATTTTTTAAGTCCATAATATTGAGATGTTCTAAGTCAGGTCTTTGGTTTCTGCTTTCTGCAGATTAAAGGAATTGATTCAAGTTATCACAGGCAGGGCCTGACTTCAAACCCAAATGATTACTGGTTACTCTTGGATATGCTTTATTCTTTAGTAACCTTTTAGAGGACCCCCTCACTACCCCAACTTCTTTCAGGACACTAATCATTCAATCACCTGTAGTAAGGAGGTAAAGGTAGGGCAGGGCTACAGAACTTCCCAGAAGAGAGAGACTGACTGGAAGGCCACATTCCTAATGAGCTGTCCCCTGCCCAGGTGCCATTCGCGCCCTCTGGCCTCAAGGTGCGCTACTTGAAGGTGTTTGAACCGAAGCTGAACTACAGCGACCACGATGTCATCAAATGGGTGCGCTACATTGGCCGAAGTGGCATCTATGAGACACGCTGTTAGCTGGCTAGGCAGCTAGCCCGCCTCCCCACCCACCCCCCTCTTCCACAAGTCCAAGTGCCCCAGCCACCACACATCAGTGTCTCCTCCCTCCTGCTTTGCTGCCTTTCCTTTGCACCAGCCCCTGAGTCTAGGTCTGGACCAACCACATCGCAAGTAGGACAGGCGGAGCTGTCCCTGGGCTCCCTGGGCAAGGTGGTTTGTGGGGCTCCTGCTTCTCTATCCGTCTGTCTGTCCTGGCCCAAAGCCAGGCTCAGTGAGTTCTGTGACCAAAGTCAGGTGGGCTTCTCCTCCCCTCCCCTGTGGCCACATCTCTCAAGTGGGAGGGTTGGCTGCCCTTCACCTCAAAGCTCCCCTAACAGCTAGTAATGGATCCCTAGCCCTCAATCCCTATTCTGCTTTGGGACAGTGTGAGCTTCATTTTGTACACGTGTGACTTTGTCCAGTTATAGACCCAATAAACTCTGTAGAGTGGAGTAGCTGGCTGTGTCGATGCAGGGGGGGTGGGAACTGGTGGGACGGCTCTTCCTATGTCTTACACTACCTGCTTTGAGTACAATTTTCTGTTTTGACCTCTCTCAAGGCTTCTTCCCTTGTCTTGGTCTCAATTGTTAGGCCCCTCCAAGGCCATCCAGTCCCTAATCCTGATTTGTGTTCACCCCAGGTCTCCTGTCTTCTCTGAGAAGAAAACAGCTTCAAGGGCCAGCAGCCCCACCTGGCCCCAGGTCCCTAAGGGTAGAGATTCTTTCTCTAATTCACTCCTAGCTTTAGGCAGATAAAAGAGCAGATTTACCCTCACCAGTTTTTCCTTGCTTGGTTTCAGCCTTTTTGAATCTAAAAAATCTATTAGAAAGTTTCAAAAAAACAGAAGTAGCAAAATAAAATGAACGCTCATGTCCCATCATCCAATTTCAACAAGCAACTCATGGCCGGTTCATGGATATCATGTCCAATCTGTGTACATACTTAATTCAAGTGTCCTATAAAATTTTTACAGTTTGCATCTGGATCCAAACAAGGTCCATTGTAGTAGGTGAATGCTTCTTAAATTTTATAAACCACAGGTTCTGCTCAGCTCTTGCAGTGTTGAAGAAACCAGATATTTCTGTACAGTACATAGTTTCCCCCTCAGAATTTCTCTTTCCCAGTGTTTCCTATAAAGTGGTTATTAGCTCTAATAGCTTCTATAGCTTTATTTTAAATATCAGGATTGACTGATTCCTCACAAGGATGAATTAATGTAATTTTAGAGCAGGATTGGAAGAGTGTTCACATTAAATGTAAAGCAGTAGCATCATTAACTTCTGAGAGAATCCGGGAAAGGAAGTAGTCTTCAGAGTGAGTTACTGAGATTCAGGCCGCAGAGAAGTCTACTTTAGGTTTAGGTAGACTTAGAGAATATCAATGAATTTACACAGGCCGTGTTGTCCACCTGGTTTTCTCGCCCTCTGGCAGAGTGAGGCTGTGCCCTGGGGTGGTGGAATAGGCATAACTTGTATTGAGTTGCAAGACACAAGCAGAGCAGGCGAGCTTCCAGGCTGAGACCAGCCCATAAAGGTTGGGAACCATAATAACCGCGGCTGCACAGAACTGCGCAGGGGGCTTCTGAAAGCTCGGGAACCAGCGTGAGTCAGCAAACATCTCGGCTGGCTCCAAAATGGACCCGCTCAGGCGTGCAGACTGGCAAGACCAGTGTGCTCGACCCACCGCCGGTCTCCCGAGCGGTTCCCACCCGCTGAACCCTGGACACACGAGTTCTCCGCCTTCCGGATCTCCACCTCCCAGAAGGCAGCGAGGGCCGCACGTGTGGCTAATTTCTCAGCGGAAAAGGCGTTGCGCAAGCGCAGAGAGCAGCTCTGGCGGCGACACAGTGGTGCTTGCGCACGGTTCTCTCGGCCCCGCCCACCGGGTTCCGCGCAATCCACGCTTTGCTTATGTCACCACTACGCATGCGCCATGAAAGGAGGGACGCGCTTTCGGGGAAGGGCAGGGGTGGGCCTTGGCCGGGGTCTCACCGCGACTGCGCGGAAGGGAGCCGGACTGTAACATGGCGACTTGCGCTGAAATCCTGCGGAGCGAGTTTCCCGAAATTGACGGACAGGTCTTCGACTACGTAACCGGTGAGCCCAACCGAATCCGCGGGCTGGGGAGGCCAAAGGGGAAGTCGGGTGGGAAAGACTAAGGGAGGGCAGGGCCGGGGCCGCTGTTGGGCCTCTCCTCTGTGTGACCTCTTGTCCCGAGGGCGGGATGGGTCCGGAGCCCGGACTCGGGTCTCGGTCCCGGGGTTAAACTGCTTGTGTGCCCACCCTGCCCCGTGTCTTCCTGGACCTGCCCCGCCCCGCCCCGCCCAGGCGTCTTGCACAGCGGCAGCGCGGACTTCGAGTCCGTGGACGACCTGGTGGAAGCTGTGGGGGAACTGTTGCAAGAGGTGTCCGGGGACAGCAAGGATGACGCGGGCATCAGAGCCGTGTGTCAGCGCATGTACAACACTCTGCGCCTGTACGTGGCGGGGGGCGTGTGGCGAGGTGGGGAGGGTTGGTCGGGAGGCAGGAGGGAGTAAGGTCTGATGGCCCAAGAGCTTGGTCCTCCACCCCTAACTGCGCTTGCCGTCCCTGCCGTGTAGGGCCGAGCCGCAGAGCCAGGGAAACAGCCAGGTGCTGCTGGACGCCCCCATCCAGTTGTCAAAGATCACGGAGAACTACGGTGAGAATGAGGGGAGGTTGACCTAGCTACCCTCTCCTTTCCTCCGCCGCGAGGCCCCGGCCGCCTGCCTCCTGGAGCTCAGAACTCCCGGCACCTCTTTTCCATAGGACAAGATTGTAGAAGCTAGTTGATGTCTTTACTGAAGGCAAAAGAGCCCATTGATGCAGGGAGTAGGGTTGGAGGGTTCTCCAAGCTCTTGGCAATGGTATGAAGCATATGGGCTTTGGAGCTGGACAAACTTGGGTTCACCCACTCCCCACCCCCTATTTTGTGACTTACTAACCAACTGCATGCTCTTGTTAGAGTTGCTTATCAGCTTTGTGTCTGGCTTATATTAGTTACTCAAAATATTAGTTTCCCTTCCCTCAGGGAGAAGGTGACTGCTTTTCTTCTCGTCTACAGACTGTGGCACCAACCTTCCAGGGCTGCTGAAGAGGGAACAGTCCTCGGTGAGGAGGAGGATGAAAGGGAGGGGGGCTGTGTATGGTTGGGGTAGGAGTTGACGGTCTCTAAATACTGGAATATCTTTGTGGGGGATTTCTGAATCTTTAATTCTGTTCATCGTGGATAAATTGAAAGGGTAAACTTGAGGTGCTCTCTCTGAGCCTACACCCGAGGGTGAAATGGTTTTGTTTGGACCCTCAGACAGTGAATGCAAAGAAGCTAGAGAAGGCTGAGGCTCGACTAAAGGCAAAGCAGGAGAAACGTTCAGAGAAGGACACACTCAAGACCAGCAACCCTCTGTGAGTTTAGCAAAAAGGGTTAAGAGAGCAGAACAGTCTCTACAGGGATGAAAGGGTGGTTGAGAGTGCCAAAAGCCATCCATTTCTTCTTTTAAAAGAGTCTTGGAAGAGGCATCAGCCAGCCAGGCAGGCAGCAGAAAGGAGAGTCGGTTGGAATCATCTGGCAAGAACAAATCCTACGATGTGCGAATTGAGAACTTTGACGTGTCTTTTGGCGATAGGTGAGGGAGTGGCAGTGGGGGGGTGTGATGTTTTTCTTTTTCCTATTAAAGGAGAATTTGTAGAGATTAAATGGGGCTAAAAGTAATGTTAGGTTTCTGTTGTTAAACTTGCAGTACACCGATGTCTAGAGCACCCTTTGTCTTCTTCCTGCTGCCCCTGCAGGGTGCTGCTGGCTGGTGCAGATGTGAACCTGGCATGGGGCCGCCGCTATGGGCTAGTGGGCCGGAATGGGCTGGGGAAGACAACATTGTTGAAGATGCTGGCCACCCGGAGCCTGCGAGTCCCAGCCCATATTTCCCTGCTGCACGTAGAGCAGGAGGTTGCTGGAGATGACACCCCTGCCCTGCAGAGTGTGCTGGAGAGTGACACTGTACGAGAAGACCTCCTGCAGCGAGAGCGGGAGCTCAGTGCCCAGGTTGCTGCTGGCAGGTGAAGGCTCCGTGCAGCTGTCCTTCACAGAGTGCCTGCCATAGTGTCATAATCCAAAATTTACATGCCCATCCTAGTGAGCAGGAGAGCTTAGAACTTAGCACTCTCAAGCCCTTGTTCCTTCCACAGTGCCCAAGGCCCTCAATGCTGTGAGCAAGTCCTTCCTGTACTCTGTTCTTGTCCCAGCAACAGGGCAGCCAGTGGTCTGCTTTCCAACAGCATGGGGTGCAGGACATCCTCTTGGACTGCCCCTACTCAGGCTGATTGCTCTGCCCCCCATTTCCTTCCCAGGGCTGAGGGCTCAGAAGCTGCACAGCTGGCAGAAATCTATGCCAAACTGGAGGAGATTGAGGCTGACAAGGCACCTGCCAGGTATTTGAAATTCCCCCTTTCTTCACATTTCACCTTTCCCTTCTGTTACCTGTTCCAACTGGGTTCTTCACTTCTAGGGCATCAGTCATTCTTGCTGGACTTGGCTTTACCCCTAAAATGCAGCAGCAGCCCACCCGGTGAGTGGCCCTTGCCATTCTTGACTGTGAATACTGTTGGCTCTGCCCCTGTGCTGGTGAGCACCCACCTCTCACGCGGCTCTTTCTTTCTTTAGGGAGTTCTCAGGTGGCTGGAGGATGAGACTGGCCCTGGCCCGGGCCCTGTTTGCTAGGTGAGTCTTCTGGGCCTGTATGTGGATATTATGGAGTATGGGCTTGGCACTTAGGGGTTTGCAATGGACCTCTGACCTAAATCCTCAAGCTTTGCGTTCTTTTTCTCCATAGGCCAGATCTTCTGCTGTTAGACGGTAAGTTTGAAATGTGACACCCTAACTTCAGGGTGGGGAAAGGTGGCAACACCCAAGTTCCTACATCTCTAGCCCTTCAATCCCAAATGTGTTCACTTTTTTAGAACCCACAAACATGCTGGATGTAAGGGCCATCCTATGGCTGGAGAATTACCTGCAGGTGAGTGCCTATAGGTGCCGGAGTAGGTTTGGGGGAAGTCTGCCTCCAAGACATCTAGGGGCTGGGAGCTGACTGCCCTCCCAAACTGGGCCTGCTGTCCTGTGACCCCTCAGACGTGGCCCTCCACAATTCTGGTCGTCTCCCACGACCGAAACTTCCTGAATGCCATAGCCACAGACATCATCCACCTGCACAGCCAGCGGCTAGATGGCTACCGGGGAGACTTTGAGACCTTTATCAAAAGCAAGCAGGAGCGACTACTCAACCAGCAGCGTGAATATGAGGCACAGCAGCAGTATCGCCAGCATATCCAGGTGTGGAGCCAGCAGGGCTGAGGGCCCTATCTCATGGGTATTAGATTTGCAGGGCGTGAGGGAGCCTGACCAATGCCTGCACTCATCCACCCGCAGGTTTTCATTGACCGGTTTCGCTACAATGCCAACAGAGCCTCTCAAGTACAGAGTAAACTCAAGATGCTGGAGAAGCTGTGAGTACAATGTCCAATGGCCCTGACTCCTGTTCTCTTAATTTCTGGCCTCATTTTGCAGGCCATCCTTGCCCTCCCAGTATAGGCCCCCCATTTTCTAGAAATCAACTTGAACTTCCTCCCCCGCAAGAAAGTAAGAAGTTTTATACTGTCCTCAAAGAGTTAATCTTGTCCCCAGGCCCTAGTAACCACTAATCTGCTTTCTGTTTGTGTATATTTGTTTATGCTGAACATTTAATATAAATGGAATCATACAATGCGACCCTTGTGTCTGGCTTCTTTTGCTTAGCATAATGTTTTTGAGGGTCATCTCTGTACTAGCACATAGTACTTCATTCCTTTTTATGACAGATAATATTCCATTGTATGGATATTACCATATTTTGCTTATTGATTCATCAGTTGATGGACATTTATGTTTTCTCCTTTTGGCCCTTATGAATAATGCTGCTATGAACATTTGTGTACTAGTTGTGTCGACATATGTTTTCTATTCTCTTGGATGCATACCTAGGAGTGGAGTTGCTGGGTTATATGGTAATTCTATGTTTAACTTTTTAAAAAATACATATTTTTCTTGGTTTCAGAGAAGAAAGGAGAGGGAGAAAGAGATAGAAACATCACTGATGAGAGAAAATCATTGATCAGCTGCCTCCTGCAAGCCACACACTGGGGATCGAGCCCACAACCTGGACATATGCCCTGACCGGAATTGAACTGTGACATGCTTCATAGGCTAAAGCTCAACCACTGAGTCACACCGGCTGGGCTGTCTTTTTTTTTTTTTTTTTTTTTTTTTTAATACTCACATGAGGACATGCTTAGAGAGGAATGGTGAGAGAGAAAGAAACATCAATGGGTTGCCTTCTGTATGTGCCCCAAACCCACAGCCCAGGTATGTGCCCTGACCTGGGATCAGCGGGCAACCTTTTCTTCCAGTGCACACACTCAACTACCTGAGCCGCTCTCTGGCTGGTTACCGTCTTTAATTTTAGCTACCCTCGTGGGTGTGGCATGTTATCTCATTGTGGTTTTGATTTGCATTCCTTAATGACTAAGGGTGGTGAACATTGAAGGTTGAATCTTTTTGTTTTATTTTTGTTTTGCTAATCTTGAAACAACATTTTCTAGAAGTGCTGGTGTTGGAGAGCCTAAAATCATAAGGCTTAGGATTTTTATGACATTGAAACGTACATCATGATATGTTAACTAGAAGGACAAAAAGCTGCAAAAAGAATAATACTATTTTTTTCCAGCATTTAGTAAACTAAAGGAATGTACAGTCATGTGCTGCTTAATGTCAAGGATACATTCTGAGATGTGTTGTTGGGCAGTTTTGTCATTGTGCGAACATCATAGAGTGCACAAATCTAGATGGTATAGCCTACTACACACCTAGGCAGTATGTTAATAGCCTATTGCTCCTAGTCTACAGGTCTTTATGACATGTTATTTCGCTGAATACTGTAGGCATTTGTAATACAATGGTAACTATTTGTGTAACTAAACATACAGTAAAACCCAGCTGGTGTGGCTCGGTGGTTGAGCATCAACCCATGAACCAGGAGGTCACAGTTCAATTCCCGGTCAGGGCATATGCCTGGATTTCAGGCTTGATCCCCAGTAGGGGGCATGCAGGAGGCAGCTGATCAATGATTTTCTCTCATCATTGATGTTTCTATCTCACTCTCTGAAATCAATAAAAATATGTATTAAAAAATGAGAGAGAGAGATGCAGTAGACAAAGGATATTTACAGCAAAAAGTATATAAGTAGCATAGTCATTTATTATCATTATCAAGTATTAGGTGCTGTATTTTATACAACTGGCAGTGCAGTAGGCTTATTTATACCAGCATCACCACAGACATTGTGCTATGACATTATGACTTGGCTCTGATGTGACTAGGTGATAGGAATTTCAGCTTCATTATAACCGTATGGGACCACCCTCATGTATGTGGTCTGTTGTTAACCTTGTTATGTAGTACAAAACTGTCCTCGAAAATAAGAATGTTATCTGGGTGGTGGGACTACAAGCTTTTCTAAGTTTTCTCTGAGCATATATTTCTTGTGTGATGGAACACATGAAAGTCATACATCTAGAGTGCCCCCTCTTTCCTCAGGCCAGAGCTGAAACCCGTGGACAAGGAGCTGGAAGTAGTGATGAAGTGAGTGCTGGGCCAGAGGGGCTGGTTGGAAGCTCTTGTTTCTGGCCACTGCAGTGCTGTTCACCCCCACCCTCCCTCCCACAGGTTCCCTGATGGGTTTGAGAAGTTCTCACCACCAATTCTGCAGCTGGACGAGGTGGATTTCTACTATGATCCTAAACACGTCATCTTCAGCCGTCTCTCCGTCTCTGCTGATCTTGAATCCCGCATCTGTGTGGTATGGTTGTTGTTTCTCTGTTCCAGGAGCTGGGACTCTCCCACCCCAACACGTGCTGGGGATTGGCCCAGATCCTCTGGCTGCAGGGGAAAGAGGTCCACTGGGCAAGAGTCAGGGCCTGAGCCAAGGACTTGGCTATACTTACACTGTCCCCGTGCTCCAGCCTCGCAGGGCTGCCCTGCAGAGGTGAAAAGAAAGCCTGGCATCTGCTACTTTATGAATACTTGAAGCAGTATTCTATCTTGCTCGTCTCTGCTCTCAGTTTTCTTAAACCATGGAACATAGAGGAGAGAGTATAGGCTTCAGGGTCAGACTTCAGATCCTGACTCTGCCATTTCCCAGCTTTGTTACTAAACAGTTTTCTCATCTTTAAAATGGAGATAACGTCTACCTCCCTTGGTTATTGAGAGAATTAAAGCCCCAGCACTTAGTAGGTACTCAGGTATTAGGCTCTCTTTACATATTTATTACCTCCTTCATTTTTCTCTTGAGTTTCTGAAAAATATTTTAGTTGTTGAAAGAGTCATTGGGACTACCCAAGTCCAATTCTCATTTCCTTTCCTTCTGTGTCCTCTACATGTACACTCTAAAGGTCTCATGTTTCTTCTTATAGGTTGGGGAGAATGGGGCTGGGAAGTCTACCATGCTGAAGCTGCTTATGGGGGACCTAACACCTGTTCGAGGCATCAGACATGCTCACCGGTAGGGCCCACACCTTCACTCTCCAACTACCCGTACACTTGTAGCTACATTCTTTATGGTCATGCCTTTCATCCCCTCTTGCACCTTCATTGCTGACTGCAGGAATCTGAAGATTGGCTATTTCAGCCAGCACCACGTGGAACAGCTGGACCTGAACGTCACTGCTGTGGAGCTGCTGTCACGCAAGTTTCCTGGTGTGTTAGGGCTTGGGGTTCAGGAGAAAGTCCCAGGGCTGCTGCCTACAGTTAGGCCTCCTTGGGGAGGTGTTGAGCAGCCCAACAAAGTCTAGGTGTAAGGACAGAGGTATTTGAAGGTGGGGCTGGGGAGAGGGTGAAGGGAGGGAGTTGGGCCATGATCGAATGGGGCCTATTCCAGGACGGCCTGAGGAGGAGTATCGTCACCAGCTGGGCCGATATGGCATCTCTGGAGAACTGGCTGTGCGCCCTGTTGCCAGCTTGTCTGGGGGCCAGAAGAGCCGGGTAGCCTTTGCTCAGATGACTATGCCCTGGTGAGGCCTTATTTTCTAGAATTCTTGCCCTCCCTGTCCTCCTCTAGCCTAGTAGAAAATGATTCTCTTGTCTTTATATCAGAGGAGTTCATGATTTCTCCAACTCCCCATAACTATCCACCTTCCTGGGTTCTGCCTTCCAGCCCCAACTTCTACATTCTGGATGAACCCACAAACCACCTGGATATGGAGACAATTGAGGCTCTTGGCCGTGCTCTCAACAATTTCAGGGTGAGTGTGTCTTCATAATGCCCACTCCTTCCCAGACCTCAGCACTCCTTAGCCCCCCAACCCCCTGAGTGCCTCTGGTCTCCTGTCTTTCAGGGCGGCGTGATTCTGGTATCCCACGATGAGCGCTTCATCAGGCTGGTGTGCCAGGAGTTGTGGGTGTGCGAAGGAGGCGGCGTCACCCGGGTCGAGGGGGGATTTGACCAGTACCGTGCTCTTCTCCAGGAACAGTTCCGCCGTGAGGGCTTCCTCTAGGCCCAACAAGCTGAGGGCTATGCCCAGGACATGGACTGGTCTCTCAGACCCCTGGGCCACCATGTAGGCAACCATCTCCAGGCCACGGACCTCCCCTGACTTTGGGGACAGCCTTATTCCCAAATCTCTCCTTTTGACTGGAGCATGCTCTGCACAATCCAGGGAACCACATCTTAGGGTCTGTGAGGACTGGTCTTCTAAGTGGAAGGGGTAGGGGGGTACCCTCTGGGGTTATAGTCCTCCACTGCCCCAGCTCTGACTGGGCCCCAGGTGGCTGCTGTGTAAATTAAATCTTCTTGCCTCATCTCTGCTGTTCCCTGGCAGGGCTGCAGTGTGTTAAGGGGTGTGGGCTCTCTGATTTGTTATTCTCCTGTGACATTTGTATCAATCACAAAGAGGAGGTTATAGCATCACCAGCCTTGACCCTGGAAGGAGACATCACTAAAGCCACTGGGGCTCAGAGGTCACCTGCCTGACCTTGCAGTGGGCTGGGCTGTTGAATGAAGGGCAGTGTGTTACATCACTGTGGGCTTGGCCTCACTGCTTAAGAGAGTGAACTGATTCTGTAATCCTGCAGCTTTAGACATGGTTTGTCATCTGCTTTCTCCTGTGGTCTCTGGCCCAGGCTCACCCTGCTTCTCTGATCTGGACCTTCAGAAGGGGCTGAAGAGAAATTGTCTTTGTCCCTGTTTTGCTTGGGTGGTTTCTTTATTTTTCCCTCTAACCATGTAAGAGGGGCCTGGGAAGATATTGAAAATGGTGTCTAATGGGAAGAAATAGAGCACTTTGTTTTCAAATTAAGCAGTCTTAAGTGTGGGGTGGGATGTTTCACAGAGGTAATCAGATTTATAAATATTGTTTCTCGAGGGCTCAGCTGTATATGTAATTGTTATACAGAAGACACTGACATAGAGACATTGTGTTGCTCTCCGTGATGATGGAGGAAACCAGTCAACTGAAGGAACTTGCTGGCTTCATGGAGAATTATAGTCACAAAGCTCAACCAAGGAATGTTAACTCAGCTGGTGAGGTTATTATAGTGCAGGTAGGTGGAGGGAGATACCTGTTTTTGGAGTAAAGGAGAATAAAGACAGGAAGTCTCTGCTGATTTACTACAGAACAGGCAGTGATGGATGAATGAAAACAGCAGAAGAGCCACTAATCATCCTGCCTCCTCAGCCTCTCTCACTCCCTTTCAGAAGTCCAGAGGAGAGGTTCTTCCAACTGTGTCTGTGGCTTTGTGAATCCTCATGCTCCTAAGAGCCTTCTCACAGCCCCCATCGCTTCTGCCAACCTCAGACCTGCAGATGGGCCAGTCAGGGGCCATCTGGTGTGTGATTTGTGTCTACCTGTTTGCCAGGCTCAGCCCCTTCACCTCACACAAGCTTGTGAATCCTGATACGAGTTCTCCCAAGTCCTTAAAGTTGGTGGGAGTGCAGCTGAAGGGTTCTGTGACAGAATCTGCTGCTTTTGGAGGTAGGTGACTTTTTACAAAGAGCACTGGAGTTGGGTCTAAGATCAAGTCCCAGTGCCATTACTGGTGATAGAAGGAGTCACCAGACTAAGAAATACTAGCTGTGTAAGGAATCACTTGACCTTTTTGAAAACCTCTGCCTGGTTTCTTGATAGGATTGTGTTGAGGATTAGCTGACAAGCACATTATACTTGTGATTCATAAAGTGATTTTTTTTGTCTGTGGCCAGTCTGATTTGAAGGACTATCATGGGAAAAGCAGATTTTCTGAGTGATTCCAGAGGTGGACAAGTTTGGGTTCGAAGGAAGGAAAATTTGTAATAGCTCAGGTTGCCTCCTGAGAGTAAGTTTCCAGTCTCTGGGACTGTTCAGCCCTGCCAGGCTCTCAAGAAGACCTCTTCCAGGTTGGTTTCCAATGTCATGATTCCATGAACAAAATAGGAAGAGCCTGTATATGACAATACAGGCCTATATATCAGGCCTTGAGAAAATGAATTGTAGCAGCTGAGAAAGACTGCATTAAGGGTAGGGTGAACTTCTGGAGGTTAGAAGAGGAGAGCTGGCAGAAGATAGTTGTCTTGAGGGAAAATTTAGACAATGTCAACTCCATTCCAGAAAGCACAGGGCGGAAAGAAATTTGACATGCATGAGTGGGAAGCCACCCTTGATCACCACAGACTGCCCATCACAGTAGCCACCCCTTTCACACTGGAGAGCCCATATAACCCAACCATTGGGAAGCTGGTCCTTCCAACTGCTGAGGTTGGAGCTGCCCTGCTGACATCAGGCTAAGTTCTCACTGTTTTCCAGGCAAATTTTAGAATGGAAAAGGGGAAAAGGTGCCGTTTACCCTTGCCGGCTATGCCCCAGGTTAATTTGTCATTTTAGAATGTAAAATTCTAGTAAAAGCCACCCCACAAGCCTGGGCCTGGCCCACCCACAGGTGCAAGCCAAACAACACCTCCAGCATCATCAGCTTATGGGTCTGCACCAGCCTGAACATGCAGACTGGATTATGGAACCTGGGGAAATCCCAGCGGGCTAGCAGGCTGGGTTCACAACCTGGCTGAAGGGCCTCTAAGGGGTCCCTGAACCTGGAGCCATTGACTCCCTTCAACCTAGCCTCCCTCCAAGTGGGCTTCATTGCACTTAGTGCTTCCCACATTATAAGCTTCTTGCCATTATTACAGTTGTAGATCCCACTTTGCCTTGTTAACCTAGAAGGCCAGACCATGGCTTGCTCGTCTTTGTGTCTTATGTGCCTGCCACAGGTTGGGTTCCCTGGGACGCAGTGTGAAGAAATCATCATGCAGGGTGTTTATTGGGGTATGCTGCTGGGACCAATACCAGGATTGAGCAGAGGGAGAAAATGGGCAGCATTAAAGCCTCAGCCCCACATTCTGGAGCTGGGTAACTCTGCAGAGTTGTCCTGAGTTGAGGCAATGGCTCAGGCAGGCCTTTATCTGCTGAGTTGACTAGTCTTTGAATGCTGGCTGCTACCAGAAGATGTGAAGTTGAGAAAGGAAGTTTTCTTCAGCTGAGACAATTCCCCCAAAGGGACTGACAGCTAAGGACTTTGCCATCAGCACTCTGCAGCTAGGGCAGCAAGTCCTTCATTCCTGAAAGGGGGTCCGGGCAGCTCATCACAGCATCTACAGTGCCTAGCCTATAGACATGTGCTCAATAAAAGTGCTTGAGAAATGAATATTTGGGGGAGATTATTTGAGGAAAAGTAGAGAATGATATTGGAAGAGGAAAAAGGGGGATAAACCAAGAAACCAGCCAGAAGGTCATAATCAAAATCCAGTCCTAAGGGCATGGGGTCAGCACAGTGCAGGTGGAGACAAGGCTAGGGAGGATGGTGTGCAAACTCAGCAAGGGGCTGCCTGCCCTGCCCAAACAAGGAAGGACTCCTTTTTCTGGGCCAAAGTCTTGAAAGCTTAGGGACCTAAGGAACAGGTTTATTAGTAAAGGGAACCTTTTTGTTTTTAAACCTCGCCTTGTTTCCTTTTAAGACAATGCTAAGGAATAATGACAGTACTAAATATTTATTGAGTTCTTATTGTGCAATAGGTACTTTTGTAAGTCCTTTACCCACACTCACTCAATCAATCTTCACAAACCTGTTATTCCCATTTTACAGATGAGGAAACAGGAAGTTGACATAGTGGGTGGCAGGACTGGGAATCGGGCCAGTCTGGTTCTAGAGTGCAACCTTAACTGTCATGCTGTACTACCGCTCAGCTCCTCGTGTGACCTGCTCAATGGTTTTGTTCATTCCATCACTTAAAACTCATCAATTGCATGGGGCAGGGGTGGGAGGTAGGGGATTTGAACAAGCTCTCAGGAGAGCAAGCTGATGAGTAGGAGTACCTGGCATTGGCTGACACGCTGGGTGGTCAGTGAAGTTGTTAAATTAATAAAAAAAAAACGTGGAAAAGTCATGCAATGGGATTAGCACAGCTCTTCCACTAATGGCATCTTGGGCAAGTCAACCTCTCCTGAGCAAATTATCCTTATCCATAAAATGGGTATAACCCAGGGGTGGGCAAACTTTTTGACTCGAGGGCCACAATGGGTTCTTAAACTGGACGGGAGGGCCGGAACAAAAGCATGGATGGAGTGTTTGTGTGAACTAATATAAATTCAAAGTAAACATCATTACATAAAAGGGTACGGTCTTTTTTTTTTTAGTTTTATTCATTTCAAACGGGCCGGATCCGGCCCACGGGCCGTAGTTTGCCCACGGCTGACATAGACGCTATGAAAATGTATCAGAATCTCTGGGAAACGGTAAGCCATGGCTCACTGCCCCCCATCCCTGCCTTAAATTATGAAGGATTTATCATGTGCCGATTTCTGGCTTCTGCACTAGAAGTTATCCTTCCTCCTTTCCTCCTCCATCCTTTCTTCCTTTTTCATTCCCTCTCTGTCCTTCCCTGTGGTTGTGCGAGGTCCTTTGCTAGGCCCTGGACTGAAGCTCTATGTGAATGTCTATAGGCTTTTTGACAGTAGAGTGAAACGCACCTGTTACAGGTGTGTTGCCTTGACCCAAAGTTGGGCTGACTGAGGGACTGTGGGTGCCTTCATTTATCGTGAGGAATGGGTGCTGGCGAGCCAGGGGCCTACTTACGGCGGGAGAGAGAAGTCATTCTAAGAGAAGAGAGAGTCAAGACGCACCTTTAGATGCGGAGGCGAGGGTGCTGAGTGCAGGCAGAAGGGCTGAGTGAGC